AAAATTGTTCAAATTTTAGTGAAACTACACAGATATAAATATAGATGTTTTTAATGACATTTAATATTATTTCATCTCCTGCAAGTCTATGAATCTATGAACGAATTCAAGATATCCCAAGTCAACTTTATTTACGTTGCTCATCGTGGTTAATTAATGCAAAGAAGAAGAAAACAAACCTTTAATGTATTGCAGCAACAAGATGCCCTTCACGTATTTCACTATTTCGTCATGGTTATCCCTTGAATTGGGTTGTCATAACTCTCATTGATACATCACCTTAGCTTGTTGCGTTTTCTTTGTTTACATAGCCGCTCAAATTAACGTTCAAATATATGTGTGTCATTTCCGGGAAGATAACTCTGCACTTTTAGTGTTAAATCCAGACCCTAAAAAGGGCATGGTAATCCAATTATCAAAAGGGCACTTTATGCCGCGACAAGTTTTCATGAAGGCACTTTTTTAACGTCTTTGAAATTATAAATATTTTCTTTATCATGTTTATGTACTTAAATTATTATTTAATACTGAAATCTTTAGTTTTACAAGTATCTAAAAGAAAAATTTATAAATCTGTCAGCTTAATTCATTTAATACACACTGAGAGGGCAATTACTGCCAAAATTTAAATTCAAATTTTTTAATCAAGAAATCAGTATGGTTATCAAGGTTATGCTTAAAAAGTAATAGGTGTGAATCTTTTTGTCACTTGCTCAAAAATTATTTTAGTTTGGGGTATGAATTTTTTTCCCTTACTTTAATATTGTTATTTGTGTATGAGGTAAATAACAGAACAAAATTGCAAAGGGGGGGGGGGCTACTTGGATAATAAATGTAGAGGGATTCTCTTTATTTTGAAAATAATCTACCAACAAAATCAAGTGAAAACTGATCATACCAAAAAATTAAACTTGAAATAATATATAAATTGGTTAAACTTTTTTTCTGGCTTAGAAACATTGAGCCTCTGGGTGTCATCTCAAAAAGTTAGAACACAGAATCATTGAACATGTTGAAAGAAACTAACTTCATACTTTGTTGTTTCCTAGCCCATTTAACACATATAATATTCAGTTTTTTTGGTACTGTACATTGTAAGTTGTCTAAATTTATCAGCAGTTTTATTTTTCACATTTCTTCATCAACTCTGTTTATTCTACTTTCAATTTAAAAAAAAAACGATCCTGATTTAAAATGTGTAACATTTTAATTTACAAATTAATATACCGGGGTATCTGTGACATTGGGCTAATTCTTGCATAATCAATGCAATCAAATGATATTTTCTCGTGTTATCTCTTATACCCTGACAGCCCGAGGCATGTTACCTGGTCAGGTGGCTGTGTGCGTTCAAGCGTGAAGTGATTTCCTGTCCTGAATTCACACCTTTGCGTGCATTAAATAAACAAAGGGTCTAATCAGCATGCACTGAATAAACAAAGCCGCTAGTCCATCTTGCCTCTGCTAGGCATTTTTATTTATTTTTGCAAGGAAAAAAGGGCATGGCGCTGGAAAAAAGGGCATGGCGCCGAGAAAAAAGGGCATGGCGCCGCGCCATGCTAGTTTGCTTTAGATTTAACACTAACTTTACAGTGAAACGTGTTTTATTTCTAAACGCGTTTAGATATAAAACATGTTAAGACATAATTGTTTAGTTGTTAAACACAATACTATACACGTTTAGATCTAAACATGTAATAGAAGTGTTTATTTCCTAAACACAATTTTTACAGTGTGGGTAAATAATTGAAAACAAAGCTAATTTATAGTTGTGCCTCTTTACTAATGACCCTTTTTTGTTGATTAATTTCTGTTTAGTTGTGTCCTAAAAACTGAAAATGCTTCGTTCCTGCGTTCAGTTAACATTCGGAATATGCTTCGTTCCTGTGTTCACTTAACATTCCTGATTATAATCATATTAAAAGATATTAACAGCGACTATTCAACGTACCAAAAATATTCATTCCCTGCTGTAACCATGATGAATCCTGCCAACAAAAGCGAAACCATATTTCGAAGACAAGGAACGATGGTAGTCTAAGAATCAGAGTTAGTCCCGCAAAAAGTTGTTCCTTATCAAATATCATTGATACCCTTGTAATGACTTCAAAACCCAACAACAGAGTTTGTTCCCTGGAATATTTTCACGTCAATGGATATGCTCTTTCAGTTCTTTTGTTACGTATATTGTGTATCAAAATTGGCTCTTTGGGAATTCCCTTGATTTGAAAACGAAAGCAAATTAGAATATTGAATTAAAAATAATTTTTAAAATCATTGGAGTTTAAAAGATTACATGAGAATCGAGCATTTAAAAGGCCTACATTGTCTCTGCACTAAACATATAACAATGAGAATTTGTATAAAAGCAACACAATGCAATAGGATATTACGTGTTTTATATGCGTCGAAAATATTTGTTCCTTTTATATTCTCAAATATGTGTTCAAGGTTTGTCCAAAAAAAACAAAAAACAAAAAACAAAACAAAAAAAAAAAAAAAAAAAAAAAACAACAAAAAAAAAAACCCCGGAAATTTTGGGAAAAAGGCATGAAAAGAACACATTTTTTACTACCTAGTACATATTGTTTGTTTTTGTCATGAAATTTCCCCACATGCGAATACACCTTAAGCAGAAATAAACTTCCGGTATTCCAATCATCTTCTTGACGTACTTTAGCATTTAAATTATTTCTTTTGCTAATTCTTTCCAAAAACAGTATTACACTGATTGCTGTTATTGGTAATTTAAAAGCAGCTATGTGTAAGTTGATGTCCTCAACACCACTACACTGATTGCTGTTATTGGTAATTTAAAAGCAGCTATGTGTAAGTTGATGTCCTCAACACCACCCCACCACCCAAAATAATGAAGCAATAAAAATGAATGCAGAATTATTGAAAGTTGAAACCAAGCTTTAAACCACGCGTGTCAGTCCCTGTTAGCGACGTGTTAATCCTTACCTATTTGCTAAATCTGATACAGTGTAGTTTGATTGGATGTTTAAATAAGTACCATTCATTTGAAGATACACAATGGTTTATGAAATTGATTATTTAATGAACACGAAGCCGTAGAAGAAAAGCTATAATTACTTTTAACGATAGTATATAAAAATTGTGGAATAAGGACTTATTGCTTTGTTTATTTACGCACACGGGAAAACAACAAAAATATTTTAACATACCTTAGAAGCATTTACTCTGAGATGTTATGGAAAACTTTACAAATGATATTTTGTAGTTTTTAGCTACAATTTTCTACTTTCGTTTTTGTATGGCCATTTTTAATATGAAATGAATAATCGAAGCACTATTAGCTTAGACAATAATAGCAACTGTGCAAATATTTCTGAAAATTATTGAATAAATTTGATCTAGACCATTTATTGATACATGTGTATTCATAGCCAGCGAGAAATAGGCTGATCGATTTTTGAGCTCTTGATCTCACGATCTCTCGAAGTTTTTTAGTGGTTCCCATAACTTCAATCACGATTTATGGAAATCACCTGTACCTAAATCTAATCAAATGCAAACCATCTAGATTCACAATACACTGATTACAAATGTCGGCAAATTCAAAATAAAGCAGATAACTCTATAAGATTATGGAAATGTTGATGCTTTATTTTCACTAATTTTTTTTATCCTCCAACAAAGTCAGTTTTTGCAGCGCGCCAAAATTACCCGTAAGATTCTCTACAAAGTGATTCCCCTTTTATATTGTGGCATGTAAAGGGGAGAGTCATATTCACTACTTAATTCTCGCGTCTTTGATAATACATAGGACTTCCAACTGAGACCAGTCAACAGAGGATGCTTACTTCTCCTAGGCACCTGATCCAACCACTGGAATTTTCAGGGATCCGTGTTTTATGCTCTATTCACAAATTTGTATTGAAGGTTTTGAAGATCGATAACTGTTCGTTATTTCACCTTTTTTATTACTTAATTCTCGCCGCAGATGTTAGATCCTCGAAATAAAATTGTAAAAGATTGGCAGATTCGCGACACCAGCTGGTGTCGCAGATCTCCCCCTGTTCAATATTGCCTTCGCTTTGACTCTCCCGGCAAAATCTCCGATTGCAAACAATCCGTTTCTTTTTATATATGATAAATTGTATTATCTACTGCATTGACATTTAAACTGTTCTTTCCAAAAAGACCAAAAAAAATTAAATGAATATATATGTATGCACATGGTGATATTTATATCTCATATATATATATAGAGAGAGAGAGAGAGAGAGAGAGAGATATTCGGGTGCATTTAATACATTGATATTTAAAAATTGAAGCAGAATTAAAATGTCTCCATGTGCATATTAATAGACTTTTTTTCCAGGCACACATAAAAAAAAATCCTCCAATATAAAAATTAAAATCTACGTTAACATCTTCTTACACATAAAACAATCAGCTATTTAGCTATAAGAAATTTACGCAGTACACTTAATGCAGTTTTTGTTAATGTTTTGATGTGTTTTACTGCTTTGTGTTATTAGGCATTGACCTATTAATTTGCTAATGGATGTGGAATGATATATTTCATACCAATTGCTAAGCTTTTCTTTTTATATTAAATTTGACTACGGAATATCCCGTCTATCTGATCAATACTTAAGACTCACGGCTGTGTGACCGGTCGATCGACAGGGGATACTTACTCCTCTTAGGCACCTGATCCCAACTTTAGAATTTCTGGGGATCCGTGATTTATGCCCTGTTCACAGATTTATATTGTTTATAGATTTTTTGAGATCGATCATGGTTATCTTCACCTTTTTCACTTAGACTTAAAAAGTAAATCGTTGGACATTCTACTTTTATAACTGGAACGCAACGTACATGTATTTCAATGTGTACAAAATTTATCAAACATAAAGCATTTATGATATTCTAAAATGGGATTTACATGTATTTGTTATGGAAGCATATTTTGTATATTAAGATGGAGTGTTAAAAAATTCTGCATATAACTAAACTCAAGCACCCTCTCATGATTTATTAATAGTAAATACATGTAGCATCAAACATCTAAATTGAACTTGGTCCTATTACTATTTGAATGCAAAATGGAAAGTACCATGGTGTGTGGGTATCCATGACTGCTACCTCCTTTGACAGGGCAATTAGTGTCCGATTACAAAGTGGACATGTATTTTTGATGTATAGCCATTTCTTTAAACACATATTGTGATAAAAGTGACCACAAGGAGTAACCATAGCACTGGACATTGACTGGTAACAGATAGGACATAGATCGTCATGGTCATGGAGTTCTGCCATGTTTACAGTTGTTAAAGAATTCATATTTTTTGTTGTTTCTTTTCTCAGTAGGAAGTACATCCTTTCATATTGTAATTGCCTCCAAACATTATCAAAGCAATGCAAAATAAGCAATGGGGTCTGAATCCAGTTGAGCCCCTCTGTTATGATTACCCACACTCCTATGCAGGCAAGAAAAACGGAACCTAGAAAGTCGATCATTTTAACTGTAGTTCTAATGCAGTATACCGTGTCATCCAAACTTTCTGAGGAATCTTTTCGACAATTACTTAATATATACAATGCATAAGTAGCAACTGATGTCGATGCTTGAAAACTAGTAGACACACACATTATTAGCACCGGAATAGTTATGAGAAAACATACAGACTGATAAAGTATGTACACTATGTACAAAGGAAATGCAGCGATGATAAAATACACTGTAAGTATCCGGAAGTGTTTGAATGACTTTGTGATAGGTATTGTACTAAAAGACATCAGACTTGGATCTAATGTTTTGTATGTTGAATTGAGGAAAGTCGCTGTCGCATAGAGAAGAGAGCTTTTAATGATAAAGGATCGCTGTTGTAAATCAAGATATTTCATGGTTCCATCCCCAAATTTGATACACATCAGAAACATAGTCAGTCCTTCTGTCCCGCTAAATTTGTTGTCACTTGTTGTAACCCAACTTTTCCAGCCATGAAGAAAATAATTTACTATAAATCGCAGGAAATTAAATACAAGTGAGACTGTCATGCACGTGACAAATAGTCCTAGAGGGTTATTACTACAGTCAAATGTATGGAAGGACAAAACATCGACCCAATTTAACTGTGTTGACATTTGAAAGATGTATTCAGTGGACCTTTTCATGTGGAATAGTGCCGTTGGAATCAATAATGAAGACCGATTCTTGATGTACTGGTTATTCCTGCAATTGATATAGAAATACAAGATATAGTAATGTATTCATCTATAGGTATTTAAAGGCTTGGGAGTATTTTCTTCTTTGATATTTTTTTTTTTTTTGCGGAAATCCATTTTTCAGTAAAACTGGTGATCAGATTAAAGGGTACTATGTAATTGAAAATGAAAAGCAATAATTGAACAATAAGCTATGTTTAGTGCTTTTTATGAAGATATCCTTACATGTACCAGCGTAGGATGCTAAGAGAAAATAACTTTTCAAATTCTATTTCAGATAAATAACTGTTCAAAATTAAAAGAAAGGTTTCACATTATAGTTTTCTCCTAATGATTTATATAGAAAAAAGCAGTTTATATTTTTTCGCTTTTCAAATATAATTGCAAATATGGATACGTAATGCCACTCTTTAAACAAACATTCTGAGAGTATTGCATTAGCAATACTTGTCCCCTGCCGGCAAGTGTAATCTGGTTCCCATTAAAAAAATTCCGTCAATCATTGAAACGGAAGGAAATGCAATTATATACCATCAATATTAGTTACGTAAAAATGTATAACTGAATTTATTCAGCATTAAACAGCAGTTTGGGAACAGAGATGTATCATTCGGTCTAGCGTTAAGGTCTTTATGGGTATATGAGGAATGTTGAGACTATGCTGTGTTCTCATCATTATTCCACAAAAATATTTCAAATACCGGTACATTGCAAATGAAGCCTTTGTAACTTTTATCTTTTATATATTCCGTTTCATAAGTCAGAAATAAAAGAGAAAATAGTTGACTACAAGTTCATATCTGTCATTTTGTGTTATAATCCCAAATAATTTGAGTCACCTCCGTATTTTGACGGATCTGAAAACAAGTCATCGTGATATTTCATCAACGGATTTCATTGTATAATGATGTATACCATTTAATTGAAACATTCTGATGCAATCATTGTAAATTGTATCATCGAAAAGTCAACTGAGTACAGATGTTAAACAAAATGGGATTAGTTAGAGAATTTCTGTACATACATGCATGCTATAGTTACTGTATTTCATTTCAGTTACTGATAATTGGGCATATATATATATATATATATATATATATATATATATATATATATATATATATATATATATATATATATATATATATATATATAAAAGACTCCAAAGTCCGATGGTCACGCCAAGGTCCGATGGTCTCGCCAAACCCCGATGGTCTGCGTCAAACCCCGATGGTTTGATGTCGATACGGACGCCGAAGTCCGATGGTCACGCCAAAGTCCGATGGCTTGTTTCCTATGAGACGCGTTGCGCTAATGTGCGATGGTCTGATACGCCGAGGTCCGATGGTGCGGAGAAACAATCAACGTTTATGACGTCACAATAGTCCGACGTCAATCCCTGACGTTGTAATCCAGCATTCAAAAGCCATCAATTCAGTATTCGTCCTCTCATACAATTTTATTAGTCCCCTACCGGTGAAACCGGAGGGGACTATAGGTTTCCTCTGAGTCTGTCCGTCCGTCTGTCTGTCCGTCTGTCTATCTGTCTGTCTGTCTGTCCCTCTGTCTGTCTGTCAGTCTGTCCCACTTGGTTTTCCGCACTTTTTTCCTAAACGCTTGCAGATATTGAGCTGACTTTTGGTATGTGAGTGTGTCTTGATGAGTTACAGATCAAGTTTGCATTTCGTCCCGCTTCATTGATTTTTGACGGAATTATGGTATTTTCAATTCTTAACGGGAACCAGATTACACTTGCCGGTAGGGGACTAGTATTGCTAATGCAATACTCTCAGAATGCTTGTTGATTTTGCTTATTGTTAGCACCCACCAGAGATATTAGGGTGAGTCCTCACACACCACTCAACTGATAAGGGTTAGCCCTTGCACACTATTTGACTGACAATGAGTTACACTGAACCCACCTAAGAGATTTAAGGTTAGTCCTCGCATACTATTCGACTGATTAGGGTTAGTCTAGCACCCACCCAAGATATCTATGTTATAGTTGTTACACACTTTTCTACTGATTAGGGTGAGTCTCGCACCTATCCAAAAGATGGGGGTTAGTCCTGGCATTTAATATTTATTTGTATTTATTTTAAGAAACAATCGGACCTTGGCATGGCGCAACATTGAAGTTTGGCGAAGTAATACTATGACGTCATAAACGTTAATTGTTTTCCGCACCATCGGACTTTGGCGTGTCAAACCATCAGGGTTTGGCTCAGACCATCGGACTTCGGAGTGACCATCGGACTTTGAAGTCCCATCGCACTTTGGAGTCTTACATATATGTATATATATATATATATATATATATATATATATATATATATATATATAGATATAGATATAGATAGATTGATAGATAGATAGATAGATAGATAGATAGATAGATAGATAGATATACTAGTTTATATATATAAACAGCAGACTGTTAACAAAGATGTACCATTCGATCTAGCGTTAACGTCTTTATGGGTATATGTGGAATGTTGGGACTATGTTGTGATCTCATCATTATTCCACAAAGATATTTCAAATACCGCTATCCTTATAAAAGTGAATTTCTTTGTGCTTTCTATACTGAATATTTCTTCACTTAGGGCAGTAATGTTAGTTTAAGAGTTGTTGTAAAATGTGCTCGGTGAATATTGTCCTCCTCATCAGGTGTCTAAATCATCGTATTGACCTCAAAACCAGCAATAATTGTATAATATATATATTTGTTGCAAATAAAGGATGTTGGCAATATATATTTACAAATGGAACTACATATATTTTTGACATGCTATGAATGAAGTTAACGAAAAATTGCTTCGTGATCGGGAGGCCGGGTTCGATTCTCGTTCGCCACGCCGCGTCAAACCAAAGACGTAAACAAAGTGACAGTTCCTTCGCCAAGGGTCTGACACTAGAAGTGAAACGGGTCGTTCGGATAAGACCTTCAAAGCCGAGGCCCCGTGTTAGGGTTGGCGTTAGCACGATAAAGAACTCTCACTGCTCAATGGCCCTGAGTGCCGAGTAAAGGTCTAAATTTGAAGCCCTTCACTGGCATACGGTGACGTCTCTATATGAGTGTAAAATTCTCAAATGGAACATAAGACAACATACAATCAATTAGTCGTAATACCGTTGTTTTTTTAATAAGCTGTAAAATCTATGGAAGGAAGATTGAAGTCAAACTAATTTGAAAGAAGGGATAATGTAAGAACAAAGTATCATTTTTAGCTGACCTAAACAAAAGGTTCAGGTGAGATTTTCAGATCACCTCTTGTTCATCGTTTGTCTGTCTCTCTGTCCGTCTTTTAACTTTTTACATTTTCGACTTTTCCAGAACCACTGGACCAAATTCAACCAAACTTAAAGTGAATTTAGGTTATTTTAAAAAAGGGTAATGCCCCTTAAAGGGAGGGGCAATCAAGAAAAGACATAAAGGTGGATGTCTTAAAAAGAAGTTAAAGCCTCCTGACATACTGTAGATTACCCCAGGGGGTAAAGTGGGGCCACAAAAGTGGATCAAATTTTCACATGGGAATGTTTTTAAACAATCTCTAGAACAGCAGGTTCATCATTAGTTATATTAAGTAGAGTAGATTTCAATTTGTACATGTACGTTGACAAAAATATCTTTTGTGTATCCCCCGAGCATAACTGCATTTATATGTTACATTTTATGTTTTTCAAGTTGCATTTTTTTTTTCAAAACCTTATTTAAATTACAAAAAATATTACACGTTATAATTTATCGCAAATCAATTAAAAATTTTCATATGTATATTTATAGTGTGCTGCTAGCTATGTATAATACCCTAATAATTTCCATTTGTAGACTGCTTTTGTTTAGAATTTGAAATTTAAAAAAAAAAGCATCAAATACCCCTTCCGGGCGTCTTGTTTACGCCCTGTTCACAGATTTGTAGATTTTGTAGATTTTTTGAGATCGATCACTGTTCCTTACCTTCACTTTTTTCATGTTTATAAGTGAATTAATCTCTGAATGCAATTAAACAAACAAACAACATACTTCCCTATCGTTAATATGAAGCATTTTACTTACCTTCATTACAGTAGAATTCCGATAGATTGGCTGGACCTGGAACTTTAAAGACTTCACACATTCTTGCTATACGTTAGAAAAGCAACTTGGAAAACGAATCTACTCAGATCTATATATATACATGTATTTTAAAGTTAAAAATAGATCAAGCAAAATTTAATCTTTATTTATAGCTTAATATTTGGAATAGTATTAATAGTCGTACTGTAAGCCCAACTTTCGGTTTATTCATAGTCACAGTTGTACGCAAGAGTATACACACTTTACACTAAATCATGTTTATGAATGTGGTGATGTGGGAATATATTAATCAACAAGAAGTGTGTCAAATGACGAATGACTGAAAAAAGAAAAGGGAAAATACTTCCCTCTTGAGAATATGAATATCAAGACAGCAACATTTGTAAATAGTTTACATCCACTAAATATTTTTTCCTTTATTTCTGACTTATGAAACGGAATATATAAAAGATAAAACTTACAAAGACATCATTTGCAATGTTCCGGTATTTGAAATATATCTGTGGAATAATGATGAGAACACAGCATAGTCTCAACATTCCTCATATACCCATAAAGACGTTAACGCTAGACCGAATGATACATCTTTGTTACCAGTCTGCTGTTTAATGCTGAATAAATTCAGTTATACATTTTTTTTCTTCGCTTTCCTTGATGTTTTTATCTTTTAATGTATATCATTAACATCGCAGTAAGTGTACTTTAATAGAACACCTACATTAATCATCGTAGTGAATGACATAGTATGGGATATTTCTGTAAAAAAAAAAAGGACAGGAGACAATTAAGGTTTACGTCTTTATTTCTTGAAATCACAGGAAAAAGTACAGAAGATGATCATTTAGATCATAAAATAATACTATCAACTATAAAAATCATAAGCATTTGTTTACACATACCTACTAAATGCCAAAGTGTTTTATATATAATAATAATATACTGTAACAAAATAAGATGTGTAATACCACAATAGTTTCATTTGTAAAGGCACAAATAAAACAAAGTTGCACATCATTAGCATTACAGCTATTGAGTGATAATAGATAAAAAAAAAATATTGGTAAAATAATGAAAGGAGAATTTAAATAAAATGTTATCATCTATCTAAACAATAGAATTTCACTTGGCACGTAAATTACCGTAGCTGTATCTTGATGACTGACGTATTGAGTTTCAGTAGACAGTGTGGATAGAAATTCCTAACAAACATTCATTTTTAAAACAAATCGGTGAAAAAAATTCCACACTGGGATATTTTGGCAGACGACATCGGTTAAAGACATATAGAACACACGTCATTATGGTAACGAATCTGTTCCTGTCGCATTTCGAAGGGCATATTCATCTACAATCTTCAATGCGTTCCTTCTCACCATCAAGTTTTCCCAGTCTTTCTGTGACCTCTCCAACACAGAATGCATCGAATAACAAAAAAAAAATGGATATTGGATCCAGGTAAGTTTCACTCATTTGATTAACCTATTCCTTTTAAAGGTGGACAACTGACTCTGCAAAATAAAAGAAACACACTGTAACCGTATAGAATAAACTACGTCATCCAAGTTCTCTAAAGTAAGGGGTTGAACGCCATCTTAGACAAATAGTAAATAGATCATGATTGAATCTATTGCTTGAGGGCTGGAAGACAGATTAATGGAAACCACTGTTATAGATACAAAAAATTCAATAAATTGTTGAATATTGTAAACTATGTACAAGTAGAAAACCATAATTTTAAAAAAGACCTTGGATGTGTTTTATTAGCTTTGTAGTTGATATCGTGCTATATGTGATAGTAAAGATGGATCAAAGAATTCGTCGGTAGAATTGTGGAAATTTGCTGTCACAAAAATGTATATGATTTTGATTATAATAACTTTAATCAGAGTACTCCAGAGAATTCTGGATGATAGGGACACTAAAACCGATAGAACACCTACCATCCATCTGACTGAATGACCAATTTCTGGAGTAATCCCATTCCAACTATGGAGGTAAAGGAGAACCAAATGAGAAAGAAAAATAGCCAATATGAAACAACGACGCACATTGAAACATAAAGCGAACACTACTTAACTTTGTGCGGAAGTCCTAAATTCTTTGTTGTCAAAAGTATGCCATGTATCATAAACACTGATTTGTTCTCTGAATTTTCACCATATAATTATCCAAACAACTGCCCTGATTTTCTAAAGGCAAAGAAATTGATCAGTAAGTCACTATAACTCGTGCTGATGTCGCTATCAATAATCTTCAGAGTCTGAGAATTCTATTAACACACAGCAGCTGAGACGTTATATATACCTGGAATATCTTTGCTCGTGGAAGAAATACATGCACAATAAATGAAAGAGTTACTAGAAAGGTAATAATAGTATCAGTTAATTAAGTTCCATATAGAGAGTGACCCATATATATACCAAAATTATTTTCTGCATTCTAAAACGAATTTATATAGAATATTAGAATTACTAATTTTTTTGTAATAATGCATGAAAACTTACCCAGACATTTATAAGAAAGGATTCCACATATCAGAAAAGACTAGATTTTTTTTATTTCGGTGCTGAAAGACACGCCTTCTCAAATAAAAAGCAGGCTGGTAGTTTGAGGACAACAGCCATTCCCGCTACAAGATGATATCAGGTTACTTTCATCGAATTGCTAAAGTCCTTTTTAAAAGAAATGTAAACCATATCGTAATAACTGTGCCAATTAACTCCAGGAACTTTTCGAAAATTGAAATCACAAAAATTTACCAAAATCAATAACATTAAAACTTACGACTTTTCAACACTTTATACAACCATTCCTTACGATAAATTAAAGTCCAGGCTTTTTGACATCATAGACAGCTGCTTTTCCACCTCTGGAATTTCCAGGGGTCCGTGTTTTAAACCCTCTTCACAGATTTCTATACTTCTTTTTTTTAGATCGATCACTGTTCGTTATCTTCACTTTTTTCATGAAAAACATAACTCTGGGAGATTTTCTGCCAAAGATTTAATAAAAACTTTGAAGATAACAAAACGGCTATTAAGCAATAAAAAACTACATGTAATAAAATTAAATCTAAGCAATTGGCAGAATTTAATCATAAGTTTAATTTTGCAAAATATACTTAATGAGCATTAATATGTATACAAATGGAATAAGAATACATTGAGTTGGTGTCACTTTTGTCAAATACTCGAAGACGCAAAGCATTTAATCCCTCCATTACTTCCTTTCATATGTCGACTTGATACTTCCCAGTTAAATCGAAATAAAAGACACCACAGAGTCTGTCACATCTTTTTAACATTTGGGTGTTTTACTGACTATAGACAAAAAGGGCCAACAAACACTTAAAATACTTCAGCTTTTTCACTGTCAACTTTCCTTATTTATGCAATAATATTCCACTATCACGTGCACCTGCACATAGAGTTTGTCTCCAAATTTTCGATAATCAAAAGTGTGCTCTGAATACGGCCAATTTTTAAACCAAGACAGGCTACTGACAAATAAATAGATGTTACAGGGACTTCAACAACCTCGTTTAAAGTCAGCAAATATAACCTATCACTGGTTGACTGACATATTTCATACCAATTGTAAGGCCTTTGTTTTTATACTAAATTTGACAACGGATTATTCCGTGTACCTGATCAATAAATAGGGCTCAGAGCTTGTGTGACCGGTCGACAGGGGATGCTTACTGCTCCTAGGCACCTGACCCCCCCCCCCCCCGGAATTTCTAGGGTTCCGTGTGTTATGCTCTTTTCACAGATTTGTATTGTTTACAGTATGTTTTTTGAGATTGATCGCTATTTTCACCTTTTTAAGGAATGTTTAAAAAATGCATTATATTAATTAGAATATTCCTATGAAGGAAATAAAACCACTATGGGTCACTAATTCCTGCCATAAGGGAAAATGATGTATAAGTGGCGGGAGTTTCTAATTGGCAGGAAGACTTATTAGTAATAAATTTAACAAAGTTAACAAATCGATTAAAACAAATACATCACCTTATCAAAATATACGTTTGTTTTTTTTTTAAATAAATATCATCGCTTCACTTAATATTGTATTGAAGTATATATATGTCGTATTTATCTCATAGATGGGGATATCAAAAAGTTCCCAAAATTAAACCGCTTTAGGTACGTCAATGAATTTTAATACATTTAGTTAGCATTATCTTTCTATCTTTAGAATAAACCATAAATGTTATTTTTAAATAAATTATTAATGTTTTTGTAAGCAACCCTATGTCCAGGCGGCGCAACCGTGAACATCAAGTTTTTTCTACCTGAGTGTAACTGAGGAAAACTCTTTTAAACTAAATATTTGTCATCCAAAAATCCTGTCAATTCAGGCATTTGGTATAAAACAATGGTTCCGTAAAATTTGCAAATTTTACCTCATTCTGTAAGTTCTGAAAAATTTTATCGTAATTTTCATTTGGAGCGTCGTTAGAATCAAGGTTTCTTTTTCTAACATTCTATAATGTTTCGCTCCTGGAAAAACTGGTATAGACCTAAGAAATGTTTAAACGGATTACAGAGAAAAAATTCATCCAGAGTACTTATTTTTAAATGCCGAAAAAGATTCAGAGAGATGAAAGATGCACAGTCAATGTCGATTTGTAGTCAAAGTGTCAAAAGTCAGTCACTTCGAAAAGTGACGTTGATTATGTGTGGTAGATATTGAACTCCGACAAGCAATATGCTAATGTAATCAAGTGAGGATCTTTTTATATGTATAGATCCATTTACAATGTTTTATGCATTGAAAGCAGCTGTTGTCATGACATTGTAAAGTCATATAAACAAGATGGGGTTAAGTCCTTACTTAACTACAGTGAATCCTATGAGGTAGATTACATGCAATATTTTTGATACCTAAAAATGGCGTTTTAATCATAATTCTTTCTTAGGTATGAGATAAATATAGCAAGCTATATTTAAACTTTTTGCTTCTTTTTTAGATATGGCATAGCATATTTTAAAATCGTGTTTAAAAATTGACCTGGTGACACTAAGTCT